AATCCATTGCGGTCTGAGTGGCAGTGCAGTCGGTACATACCGGCGCTGGCCCCGTCCAGCCCTTGTTACTCACCGTGGTGGTCCGGGACAGCTCCCACCACGGCCCGGCCTGATGAGTTTACCCTAGTTGTGTGATGCTACACACACGTACCGTACCCACTCCGTCTGACTTGCATTCCCAATGGTCCTGCCAAACCGTAGTTTAGTTACACTCATATACAACTTCACCTGTCTATAACTTTGCCTTTTGTGTGTTGTATTATGTTAAGCTACACCTTCTTCAAATCCCTATTGAACTTTGATGAAGAGAAGTGAGAGCAATAAACCAACCATACAGTTTGACTGTCACCCAAACCCCTTTGTTTCACGTCCACCCTTTAATAAATTGTTGACCCCATGTATCACATCCCGTAGACACTTATGAAGTCCATGCTACCATCGACTTGATATTTAGGGAACGCAACAGTACCATTCATTCACCATGTTCACATACATGTACATGTGTACGTACCGTACCAGTTCAAGTGTCCAGGGACATGCCAGTGTTAAATTTTCCATTTTTTTGGATAAGAACAGGTAATACATGTAAATGTGTAAATGTAAATGATTGCTACAGCACCTGAAATGACCCATATGATAAAACATTGGCTGTTTGTAGAAGACATCATTGTCTGCATCCACTATGATGGGGCTGTCAACTTCATTCTTGGCCCAGTTAGGTCCTCCTTGCATATTCAGAGCTAGATTCCAGTCCACCCAGCCAGCTACAAAGTGGTTCAAATCCTGCTGGTCAAAATGTTTTCCTTGTATTGGTAAAAGATGCGTACATGTAGATTTACCAATCAGAAATGAACATGTACATTTATCATGTTTATATGGTGTGGCTATCTTTACATGTATGGTACCCAATTTTATACCAAAATCTTACAGTGGTACCATACATGTACATATACATGTACATGTATGTATTTACAAATCAGTTCAGTTTGGGGTTCATCCCTAACTTGCCCACCCTTATTGGTTTATTGTACATAATTATATACATTGGACTTAATGTACATACATTGTGGAAGCAGGGTTAGGATATAATGGGACACAGAGGAGTCCCGCTGTGATATCCATTCTGTGTACATGTACTGTATGGTACATCTGCCTCACCATGATAATATCAGAACTGTAGCCCTCACCGCGCTCCCAGCTCCCTAGGATAACTGGTTCTGCATTGAACTGGTACCCATCACAAGCCTCTGTGGCCAATACAAATTGTTCTGGATAATGTTGCATGATCTCATCCAGCTGATGATAGTCTGCTGAAGGGAGGTTATCCTGATACCAGTGAAGGGCTATACCTGATGTGTAGTGTCGGGCTTGGGTGTCATTCAAAATCTGCAAACGGGAAAAGGCAAATTATGGGCACATGTATACTGTACGTACCAGTTCATGTAGTATTTTGATTGTAGATGGTCTACAAGTTTTAAGCCATACACTTTCCTGTGCCTACAGGTACATGTATGCATGTATGGTTGTACCAGTCACACGTGTGCATAGTTCATATGTTTAAACTGTTAAAGAAAGATTAGAGTGGGACAAAATGATATCTTGGTTTCAAAAGACAATGGAGTGTTTTAAGAGCTCACTTCCTAACTTTTCTTTTGTTTGTTGGTAGAATTTTTTCAGTTTGTCTACAAGTACAGTACATGTACATGTGCAGGAAAGCTGCATGTACATGTACCAGTACCATACATGTACATGTTTTTTGTACGTGCAGTGGTGAACTTGAAATCAAGTTCTGCTACAGTGTAAAATCTGTTCCTAAACTAATGGTTCAGTGTACATGTAAAATCCAAATAGACATTTAGAAGTGGCTTACGGTTTCAGTATCTTCCAGTATACCGGGCAAGTTATCATCATGTGTCATGAGTTGAATGTGTCCATAGCCATTGTCATGTAGAGCAGGTCCGAGATCCATCTTGATGAATTCTCTCATAGTAGGTGGCTCCATGGCCATACATTGCCAGTTGTAGAATGGAACTAGCCCTGCTGTGGGTTCATTTTGCACAGTCAGCCCCCACATGGGAACATGATGTTCCTCGTAAGCTTTGAGAAACCTTGCAATGTAGAATGTCAGCACAGACAAAGAGTTTAGACTTTGGGGGAGGGGGGAATTTTCTTCAAAAACATACATGTACTTGTAGATCTGATGCAAAACTTTTATACTACATGTACTACTTAATGACCAATAATCTCACTTCTGTTTTCATCAAGATTTTTTCTTCTAATCAAATCAGTTTTGATCTCTAGTTCACTTGAAGGAGGTGTTAAAGTCGGGAAACATTCATCATCAAACATTTCTTAAATTCTAGATACTGTAATTCTGATATACCGGTACAGTGTGCAGGTATGTACAGGTATGTACATGTACATGTCCTTTTTTTTTGTAGTCATTTTCCATTATGATTCTCAGACTGGTCACACAACAAGAACTCCATTTTGTATGTGAATTTGAACATTCATGGACAGTGTGCTGCTTTGTGTATGATGTAGAGAACTGGTACATTGTAACAGATACTCTACCGGTGCATGCATAGTACATGCCAAATTAACCAATCAGGCTGTACCTCACAAGTACATGTACATTTATACATTTACATGTATGTGTATGGGGTACTATAGTACAGCGTTATATGTACATGTACATGTACTTTGACAGAGGATTAGTTTGACCGCTAAGGAAAAAGATTGTCTCATCGGGGAGTCTCAATGTTTACATGCATGGATAGTGGCAGCCACGAATTATACATAAAAATGGAAGTCTTTTGTTTGACTATGGTTTGACATACTTGATAAAATAGTTTGCCCATGTCTTGTAGTATTTTTGGCCAGGGTTGCCGATGAGTCTTCCTTGATTGAATGTGTTATGCATCATACCGTTAGTCTTCATCCATGCAGGAGCAGACCAAGGGCTGGCAAACAGCCGGATGTCGTACTCACTCATGGCCTTAGCTCGTTGAATTACTGGGATCTATGTGGGAAAAGAAAGCAGAGAGTGTTGAATGATGACTATTAACTACAATGTACATGTATTTGGGCTATTGCCACTACTGTAAAGGTTTTCTCTGTGCTATACATACATGGACATGTATTTGTATTTGGTATATGTTGAATGCAATTAGTCATTCAGCATGATAACTTGATTGTATTGCACTGTCAGTTGATTCTGTATGAAATCTCGGCCTTCACTTCCATTTGAAAAGAATCCAACACAACAGCAAATTAGAAAGAAAAGGCAAGTTGCTGATAGTGGAATTATGGGTAAATCATTCTTCCAATAAGATTGACTGATTGTGCAAAGATAAAGTGAATGCAGACGTGTTGTTTCAACAACTAAAGCCCAACATACATATAGGCCCAAATGTAGAAAGCATGAGCCTTTAATACAGTCATGGTTCTCATCAACTGGCAAATACATAAACATTTCATTGGCTATGATGATGAGGACCAATTGGTAAGAAGTTGTATTTAGCATTGCATGAAAACAACATACGAGACTCCAGCAATATACAATTAGCTGAAAGTTCTATTGTAAAGTTTGCCTGGTGGCAGGTTCACTTTTTTAGGCAAGTGTTGGTCAGTATTGCCCCAAGTTTCATCATGGTTTCTATGTAGTAGGAACAAGACAAATGTTGAATTTCTGTTAGATTTCAATATACATGTAATTCTTCAGAATCATTTGATGAAGGTGAACAAGGCACTAATAATGCTACGTGTACCTTACCTTAAAATCTAAATCTTCGGATACTAGTGTAAAGTTGACCAGATCAAAGTCACCATCATAATCATCATAGCTATATTCTGACAGAGAGAAGTCACAGCTATGGATGGGGACACGACCCATATTATATTCAATACCTACAGGTACCGATAAGTAAAGAAAGGAACAAAAAGTAGGGAAGAATTACAAGTAAAAGTAAATTTATGCGACCTCAGACTTAATCTGATGTCCATTAATCATGTGAATTGTGCTTTGTAGGTAAAATGTACAGGATTATACACGTACAGTATAATGACCTTGCATACTTGTACATGTACAGTGTACATGTACCTCTCTGGGCACACGCATTCTACTGATTTGAAATACAGTTTCGGGGCACAGTGTTCTGGTACTGAATGTTTGCCCTTTTCTGTCAGTGTTTCATCAGGAAGAGTTTTTGTAATGTACTCATATTGGTTTTAAGTTTCTGTTATTTTCTTTGTGCAGTTTGTCATGGATATGATGGAACTCACACATGTGTGAGGCTTTGCATAAATTCTGATGACTGGGTTTTAGAGCCTTTTTGCACATGTTGACCAAAGCACAGATTTCCCAACATCTCTACATTTCACATGTACATGCACACTATGTGTATTGGAGTTCAGGATTGTGTTTTATAGACTACATGTATGTACATGTACACTGTACATATGTACATGTATCGCCGCCCCAAGACCTGGAACATGTTCAGTACACTTTTACCTTCCATAGAGTAGTAAGACCTGAGTAGATTTTCTTGAACCTTGCTTGATACATTCAAGATGTTCATAGTTGCTGAGTCAGTGAAGGCTCCACCAAACCCCACAATTCTCTGATATTCTTCAGAGGAATTGACTGTCAACAGTTCCACATTCTCTGCAACAAAAAAGTAAGTAAACTTGGATGTGATCTGTGTCATAATCTGATTGTCTTTTGTTATTCCTTGTACAGGTATCAAAAACTTTCCGGATCCATTTTGACCAAGTGTAAAACACAAGTTTTACATGTACGGTTACTGGTTTAACCCTAATAGACCTCAATCCCTCACTATTTGGTGGGTTGAAGACTGTTAGGGCTAATGCAATGCCACTTTGGCATTTCTTCAGTACTTATTATTTAACTACTTGCAAGTCCATGTAATGACTTTCAATGGGCAGAATCAAGTTGAACTTTATACCAGTACATGTGCTTGGAGTAGAGACTGAAACAAAGCATGGAGAGTTGTAAAATGGCAAAACAGGGTACTTGTGCATTGTTTATGCACATTAGTTTAGATTGGGGTACCGTTACATGTACATGAATTGCATTCTTTCTTCAGTTTTACAGTTTGTGAGGCCAGTCATTTATGCACAAACTTTTCTTGAATTTAAGAACTGAACATTTACTAATAGTTCAAATCCAAGGGGCTTTCTGACTCATTACCAGCTGGATGTTCATTCATAGCGAGCACCGTCTTTGAAAAGCGATGAGTGTCTCTGCTTGAGCTGTACTCTACAATCTCATTGGGTTGAATGTTGCCATGTCTCTCTACTGTATCACAGTAGTCAGCAGAGCATTCACATACAAAAGAGCTTCCCCCCTGGAAATACTTCTGTCTGCAGGGCTTGTCTTCTGCATCTGTGAAAGAGCATTGAAACTACAACATCAGACAAAGTACAAGATTTACAAAATGCATGGTTCGACTTTTTTATAACTCCTCCAAGTTAAAGCTCAGTATCTTTGCCTGACAATTTAAAAATGAAGGTGCTTTTTCATAAAAACTTGCCCACTATTACTCCCCATGAAAAGAAAAGGCATCTGTCATGTCTATCATTTTATTGAAAGTCATATAAAAGGCTTTTGGGTAGCATGGGATGATTTATATGTACATGTATGTGCATAAAGCACTCACCTGCCACCAACCGTGGTCTACATGTACATGCAAATAGTAGGCTCGTTTTCCATCCTGTGCAAATGTTAGTAACACTACTTACTCTTTCCTGAGCTCTGATACATGTAGTTTTTCTCAAGGTTCTCTGGTTTTCCTCTCACTGTAAAAAATGAACTCTTTCGACCTCCAGCCATGCCAGCTGTACATGTACTCTGTAGTCATATTTGGACCGTTTGCACCTGTCTAAAGCACTATGCCTTTGCATCAAAGAAGTTGTAGCTGCATCCTTCATACATGAAATTCAGCCTTGTTAGAATGATCAGCCTCCATTTTCATTGTAACACATGTACATGTATGTACACTAATGATGCCATTAAAGGGTAACTGCAAACAATTTGTTTTAATCTGGTACAAACCTTCAAAATGCACCTTCCTCTCTTAATTAACTTTACTGGTATTTACAACTTTTGTTTCACTATTTCAAAGGGTATTTTATTGCCTTTTTGGTTTCTATGCTAATGAATATTTCAATATTCATGAGCAAAACTGTGATGTCACCAGGAAAAAGGCCTCAATATTACATGGGTCAGTTTGTAAACAAAAGTCCTGCATTGATAAAGATTTTGTTGGACTAAATTTTCTCTCCTTTGCTTATTCATTGTTGTTTATGTGCATACATGTAGCAATAAGCAAGCATCAATCCGTTTTCAGAAATGTTTCCAGTCAGTAAATTCTGGGTCCACAAGTTGAACAAAAAATCTATGCACTGAACTACTGTACATGTGTGTCTTCCCTAGATGACATCATGGCAACAGTGCCCTCAGTTATCCAGGAAAGCACGGATAATGCTAAAAGTTTAAAGAAGTCCACTTTTCAATGCATTTAAAATGCATTTTTTCAATACATGTAGAAGGTTTTTGGAAGAATACATGTATAAAGTTAATGTTTATACAACATGTATAAAGTTGTATAAAAATTGTGTGTAAGAGAAATGCAGCTACATGTAGTGGTACATGTAGCGTGCTACACGTGAAGTTTTGCTTGTAGAGGATGCTCCTTATTGCTGGCTTTTTTCTTCAGGCTATTAGCAGAGGTCAGAGAGGTTCTTACGTGTTATTTTCTTCACTGAGTCTCCACAGAAATATACATACACTGTATGTATCTTTAGTTTTTGTTTCTGGTTATTGCCAACTTTGAAACTAGAAATTGTTTGTGACATGAAAGGACATGGCCAGCTCGTGTTTTAGAATACTTACCAACAACACACAAAGATAGGTGGAAGAATACCAAAGTAAGGATGACACCTTGCATTGTAGAAGACTGGTTGGTAGACATACCTCAAGAATTGGTCAGTTGACAACTACTCTGTATACAGTACATGTATATGTAGGGTTTGAGTGAAAATCAGACAAACATCTCGAAATGAAAGAAGAATGTAAACTTTGCCGTACTGATGGTGCCGAAACAGTACATCTGCCTGTTGAGTGAAATACATGTAATATGCAAATTTACAGTTGCCAGGCTGCCAACTATCCTGGGAATTTTATCTCTCAACTGATTGAGAATGGTAAATATTACAAAGGCCCATATCTCTTGTGTGTAATACTGATATTCAGCTTTAACTGATAAAAAAACGAATTGTCAGGAGAACCATTGATGTTGCTTTTGGACATTTCTTTGTACATACCTATGCATGTATATTTCCTGGGAACAGATTGTACAATGGATGGTATTACATGTACGTGCTGTACATGCTTTTGCTTCATGTACTGTACGTGTATACAAGTATTGTGCTAGAACTGTGATTTTAATGTACATTAAATGTTTTACCAATAAGGGAGACTTCTTAATCTGAAGTTACAACAGACACTCAAAACAGTTGTCAGGACTTAAGCATTGTACAGTGCATGTATATCAAACAAACCAGGCCAATTAGTGCTAGTATAACACCTGTAATTGACCTGATAATATGAGCTTTACTCCTTTGTAAAGGTGCAACCATGGTATGCACAAATTATACCGAACTCACAGTTTGTGTTAAGCATATTTAGAAATTAAAGGATTCAATTCAGTGTACTTGAGTAAATGTATTTAAGGCTCAGTTGACTTCATGCTGGTCATGCTGGCACTGAATATACGTGCACATGTACATGTAGAAATAACTTGGAAAGAGAACTTTGTTTTACTTATTTGAAGAGCAGTTACCTGTCTGTCTGTCTGTCTGTCTGTCTGTCTGTCTGTCTGTAGTCAGTTCGAGCCTCCTGTGGTTCAAATCCAGATTCTTGAAAATAAATTACTGATTGCATTTTTATTTTAAGGTTGAATGTTACATGTAATTGGATTTATCAGAAAAGTTAGAAGTGATTTGAAAATGTTTAGTTTGATTACACGAATGACATTTTTCGAACTGAATTGTTCACTGCATGCTTGGTTAGTTTTAGCCTGGTCTGACATACATGTTCAGTAGGACATACATTGTACACGTACATATGTACATATAATCCTTATAATGTACCGGTACTTATTCCTCAAGTTTGAAATTATAGTTAAAAAACAAAACAAACGTGAATGACTGTTATTTTAAGTTTGACAGTTTCTCAATCCAGGGTTTTCAGTGAAGTGCCAAATGCTTAAAATTACATGTACACAGTACATGTACATGTACATTGTACCTGCAGCCAGCGAGTACTGTCCAAAGTTTAGCTGACCCCATTGGATGTCCAGGTTAACAGGTAAAACAAACTAATAAGCTGACCCAAAGTTGGCATTCAGGCAGCTTAATTGTACTTTCAACAGGTTGTAGGTTTCTTTGAAATCTGTGACATTCGGATACAATAACTTGCTGATGTTCTGGTCATTGAGAGGGGGGCCTATCTAAAATATGATAACCAAATCTGGTTTGTTTGGATTTGAGTCACAGCAGAAAGTGAGTGTGCTACATACATGTACATGTACATGTACATGTGCAGGTAGTTGGTTCTTGTTAACAATAGAATCAAGATTACACTGTAAGTCTAAATTTAGATTTCATTTTATTTAAAATTTTCAATACAGGCATACTGGTTCCGTACAGTGTGACGATAAAAGATTAATTATGTTTATTTAGTTACGTTTATTTTATTAAACCATAAAAAAATCTGCTAATTAAGTGCACCATATTACCATACTTAGCCATCGCAGATGAAATTGTCTCTGTATTCACCAACCACTCTTGGTTTCCATTCAAGCAGCAAGGTCATTGGTAGTCTCTACTCCAGTATCATTCATGAGGACCTCTGAGAAAGTGGGCTTTGGCTGTCCTTGGGCATGGAGTCCATGTTCCAGAACAGAAACTTGCTGGCAGAGAACTAAGGATTATACATGGTCATGGAAAAAGAACCAATGAAGATGCACAAATATGTATGTAAACAGACCATTCAAAAATCAATGCAGCCAGAAATCTAAAGCCAAGAAAAATTATGAAAAACCGTGAAAGCCACAGCAAACCACAGTTCGAACTAAAGAACTTCACTTGACTACAACACACCAAAAATGTAGGAATATAACAAACAAAATTTTAAATGAAAAATGTTTCAATCCAAATTTAAAAAAAGGCCAAATTAATACTTTCTGTCTCCCAAAGGCAGAAATCAAACTGGTTCCATAATCCAGAACTACTGTAGTTGCCAGGTTGCAGGGAAAATGTACATGTACGTATACACTGTACATGTACAGTATGTGGTATGTACATGTACATGTAACTCCAAAATGCACAGTTTAGTGTTCATGTTACAGTGCTGCAGTTGAGTGCCTCATGACAATCATGCATTTCTTAGTGAAGCAGATTGAGTAGGATGAAGTAAATAGACCATTCAAACACAGATAAACTGTCAAAGATACAATTTAAAACAATGTACACAATTCTTCATGTTTGCACCAATCACTGTATGTGGGATGTGCGAACAAAGGAACACTGTACCTTTACTGTATTTAAAATTGAGAAATTCATTCAAAAAGCTGTCCTGCATCTGTTAGCCAACAAAGTTTTGTTTGCTTCTTGGTTAAGAAACCTCATTTACATGTAGATACCCTAACTTGTAGGTCTAGAATAATTGGCAGTATTGCGATTGATCATTTGGACAGTCTTTTGTATGGTATCAACACATTCTGTGTGAAGCATTGACTTACTGGTAGTCCTCTCCATGTTTCACCAATCATCTCTATACCACAGAGTGATATCATCAATACTTCATTAATCATGTTAATGAGCAGTTTACAATATGTAGAAAGCTCTTCAAGTGAGCTTATTACAGTTTGTTCATCCCTTGACTTGCTCTTGCCTTGGCCTTGACAAGTTGGACTCAGACCTGAGCTGGACTTGGACTTAGCTTGAACTCAGGCATTAATGGACTTGGCTTGGTTCAGGCTCAGATTAGATGAACTGGACTACATGCCTATCACTTATTAAATTCAGATACCAGTCTGTGTAATTAGGGGTATGTTATTTTGCAAGATGTGTGCATTATTCTAACTGAATGTTTTGCTTATTTACAGCTTGGCCAAGTTATCCCTGGAGCAAGGTGCCAATCCCAACCTGGTCCTATCGTCAGGCATCAGTCCCTTCCATCTGGCTATAGGAACAGATTCACTTAATGCTTTGCCTCTTGTTAAACTCTTCCTGCACCATAATGGCAACCCCAATGTTAGGTAGGTACATGATCAATACATGTAGGTTCTCCAGTCAGGACTATGACATGTTTATAGTAATGTATTCAAAGGAAGCAATTCACCAATCTGTCTTTGATGATGATGAATTGATGTAGCCCATTCCAAAATGAGTGCAGGAATGTGTTCTTTTTAATCCATCTTTCTTTCAAGATACATGTACATGTACATGTGTTGTGGTTTTGGGGGGTTTTTTGCACATACATGTACACACACACTTACCTTACATACATATACGTGTACCTAGTGTGGACATTCTTTTCATGCACTTAAGAGAACTCGGTGAAAATACTCGTTTTTCTTGAATTGGGAACACGATTTTCAGCTGGCTTTTTGCACAAGGTTTCCTTGACTATTCCTCTTCCTTTTAAGACAGATGACCCCTACCCCACAATGACTCTAAACTTCTTTTTCAGAGAAAGAAAAACATCCTGTGGACATGTGTAAGTCCACAGAACGTCTTCCTTTCCTGCATTGTGTGGACATCTTGTATGTGAGGTTGGCGCACTTGTCCTGGCACATACATGTATTTGCATACGTTGTGTTTTAAATGTTTCCACTAAACAACCTGGATTAACTGTATGAAGTTTGCTTTTGTCAACTGAAATGAATGTGGTTTGGTGGTGTTTACATATTGATGCTTTAGGTCTGTAGATGGAATGACACCTGTACATGTGGCTGCCACCTGGGGGCGCTGTCTAGCTTTACAGCTACTCCTGGCAAATGGAGGTAACCCTGAGTTGTATGATGAAGATGGAGCAAATGCAATGGATATGGCTAAGGAGAATAAGAATTGGGACTGTCTGAATATCCTGAGAACATATCAGATTGAGGAGGCTGAGGAAGACTCTCGACCAGACAACTATGTAACAAGTGAGCAGAAATAGTACTTGAATTGAGTTTTGACTCCTTAGGGCTCCTTATGCAAACGGTTGGTAAAGAAATACAGCCATGGAGAGAAGAATGCTGCATTTTATGACTACACACTAGGCAGAAACTCACCATTTGGTATAAAAAATCATAGTAGTTGTCGATGATTTCTTAGAATGGTACCACATACATACATGTACATTGTAAGAAGTAACATGTATTGAAGGCACAGTGGATACACATGCACTCAAGTTCCAACAGTCTCCCCTGGAGTTAGTCTGTGATGTCATACTGAGCAAGATCATTGATTGGCCAGAATGCACAGTCACTGAAACATTGTACATGTACATGTATCTTTGAAATATTCATGTATTTCTGCTGTCAATGTGAACAAATCCATGAGAAACCATACACTGAGGTGGAACTTCATGCTTGTTGGGGTAAATGGTCCTATAATGTCATTCAGCCTGTAAGAAAGTGCTGGCTATCATGCGATTGGTACATCGCCACCACATTCATCTAAGTTACACATGTGAGTAGTTGACATCATTTGCGGGGGGAGGTCGTTTTTCTGCCTGCTTAGCGGGGCCTGGTAAACTGACTCTGTTGGTCACTATTTTTATCTGTAATATCCATTTAATTTTAGTGAAATTGTCACCAGATTAGAATACGTTTGAAATGATAAATTTGTTAGTACATTAGGTTTGGCTTTAGCACCAACGTGTGCATGTATACAATGTAGGGTGAATATCACTCTGTGTGCTCAGTGTGGTCAAAGACCAGTTGTGAAAGAAATTGCAATTTTGCATGGAATCACACTGAAAACACAGTGTGAATATAAACATCAATGTAAGGGCAAAACCTAAACTAAAATTAACATCCCTAATGTAAAGCCAAATTAATATCCTTGACAACATGATAAATTAATGCCTGGCGACTAATGCCTGAGCTGCAGGTGAGGGTAATATCAGTCTTCATTCTCCTGAGCTGGTCTGAGTACCAAGCACATATTTATTCCCACTCATACATGCACCGTTTTAGTCAGAGTCAAAAGAAGTCAGTATACTACATGTATAAATTTCCAAGGATTTTGTTCAAGAAGTTTACTTTCATTTTCCCAAAGACCCCCATCCATTTTATGGTATATTTCTTGTCCAGAAGTCCAGAAAACTCTCCTTATATGGACTTAGCGTGCACATGGGGAGTTCTACATACAGTGTACATGTACCGTACCACAGCGTTCATACATGTAGACTCTTGGCCAATGGGATGGATTAAGCTGTTTCTTAATCAAGTGCCAGTGTGTTTTATGCAGCAGGCATTATCAGATGTTATTAAATACACGGTCACATTGCACGTTGTTGAAAAAGGAAACTGTGGGTACAATGTACATGTATTTATGAAGACAAACTTGAAAATGTGTAAACTCAGTTGCATCATGCATACATGTACATATACATGTATGTATACATGTACTTGTACAGTGTGCAGAAATCATGTGCAGAAACCACAGTGCATTGTAAACATTCATCACTCCTGGCAAGGAGTGATGAATGTACATGCACAACACACTGTACCCGTACCACTGCCAATTTGAAGCTCTTTAATTTGGTATTGAGCGTGTACATGTAGATCCTTGGAAATGTTCAATTCCAAACTTGATATTCAAAAATGTACGTACATGTAAACTTTGCTTTACATTTTTGAAAGCTGTCAGCATTTAGACTGGATAAGGCAATTTCAGGGTCCTGAAGTTGAAGGGGTGGATCCAGGGGGATGGGGTTAGGGGTTAAAAACCCTCCTCGGAGACAAAGAAAAAGAAAAGTAAACAAAAAAAACGGGGGAAATATTAAAAGCTAACATGTTGTAAGTGTACCATTCTAAGCAATGTACCGGTATGCCATGTAATGTTTCATCATTGTTTCCGCTTGTCTGCAAATACGAGACATTAAAAGAAATCTCCGGCCTGACCCTCCCTGTGGAGAAATTCCTGGATCCGCCCCTGAGTTGAGATTATTACTTTTGAGGGCATGTACACGTGAGAAAACTGGTAGGAATGCTTTGATGGAATGGGAAGTAGAATGAAGTTTGACAATCACAATTCACAAAGTAAACAAAACAGTGCCGAGTGGTGGTCCCATAGCCCTTATCTTGAAATTTCAAAACAGTTTTAATTTTTAAATGAATGTGGTGTTTGTTGTTGTGTCAGTTGTACATGTACATTTTGTTGACACAAACAACCCTGTTTGTCCTTTGTATTTGCTTTCATTTCAGTTAAGTGCTTCAAATGTTTTGTTTTGTCAGGGTTTCTAATTCAGCAAAGGAGCAGTTTTCATGAGCACCCTGATGAAGGCAGCTCGGATCACCTTGACTTGACAGACTTGAATCACAACTCATCTCGCAATTCCTTGGACTCTACTGCTTTGTCTTCCTACTGCCAAGATGTGTCATTCTCTCCTTCCAGTCACACTGAGGAAATTACAAACTCATCCCAATCATTCTTCCCAGACTTGGCCTCGCAATGGGCAGCAAAAGAACAGCATGACTCTGATGGATCAGGAAGCCGCACTAGTGAGCCACATGAAGGGAAACCACTTCCAGCAATAAGACAGTCCAGGGGTAGTTCAGGAGTTCCTGACCAAGCATGTTTGGAAACAACATTTCCAGATGTCATGGGACTTTGTGATAACAGGTCAGCAGACCTTGATCGAGATGATTGTCCTGTCACAAGTGGAGATGGAAGTGAGCTAGCTGAAGAACAAGATCACAACAAAACTCTATCCAACAAGTATTTAGAGGAGTTACTCATGAGTGAGCACTGCACTGGCTTGGACCTGACATCACCTGATCATCCATCTGTTTTCATTAAAGTTCAGACCTCTCATAATGGTGAGACACCACCTCTGGACAAGACTATGGTCTTCTTGCCAGATAGAAGATCAGTTGGGCAGTCTGGAGAAGTCAAACCATCAGAAATCTCTCTTGCAAGTGAAGAAGGCTCAGCATATGTAACTTGTCAAAGTGATGATATTCATTTGTCTTGTACAAACACTGAGCAGCAGTTTTCAGAACAAAGAAAGAGACATCCAAGGCGAGTCACATTTAGTGATGAAGGAGGGAATTCCACAAACCAGTTAATTCAACGTTCTTCACAGGTTGAAGTTGCTAGGGAAAGACATGTCTCTGATGAAAGTGATCCGAGCCAAACTAATGGCAATACTAAGAAACTGAGTTTGAACGAGTCATCAGAAAACACTTGTGAGTTGAGTGACTTGCTCACATCGGATAACAGTGATAGTGACCTGCTGACGACAGATGAAAGTTCTTTCATTGCTCCTCACATTAAGCCAACATGTCAGTTCCAAAATGAACTTAAGCAGCTGACTGCCAGTAGAAGGGATGCTAAAATCAGTGACAGACCAGTGACTCGAGATTCATCAATGTGGCAGTTGTCATCAGGCCATCCAACTTCAAGATCAACAGAGGGTCATTCCATCATATGTGAAGCACACCTTGCAGATGGCCTTGAGCCTGATTGCAACACTGAGCATGACTCTGTGGAGTACTTGTACCATGATGAAGGTACAGGAGCCATGTTGATAGAGCGACAGTGCCCATCAGCTCTGACTATGAATAGCAGTCATCTGGACGTGTCTTACCTAGAGTATAGCCAGGTCTCAACAAGTGATGAGACTGTGCTTTATGATTGGAGAGATTACCAAACAGATGACGAAGGCAAGTCATGTGCACCAGCACCCTTGTCTAAGGAGCTGCTTGAGTTGACTGATAAGGGTATCAGGGAGATGATGCAGAAATATGGAGAGGAAGCTGGTCCCATCACGTCCACCACACGCATGGTATACTTGCATCACTTGGCGAAACTCCAAAATGATCCAGGATTTGCAGGGAGGACTGCCAATAGACAGCAAACTTTTCAAGGTGAGATGTACATGTATATACCGGTATACTGTATGCATGTATCTCTGTACTCATGCACTTTTAAGACAGTGAAGATTTGATGTGTAATGCATTGTGCATAATGCACCTGCACCTTCTCCAACATAACACAGGTTTTAAGCAGTGTAAGCTGAATATGTTGAGAGAAAGCACACTGGTTCATAGATAAGACAGGAAATATACGGTGTAGTTGTATTTATGCAGTATGGAACCTATTAATCATACACTAATGCGCGCCGTATGGCAGTTATTAGTGAACTTAACAGTATATACAATGTGAGCCATCAATAAGTACAAAAAGAGGAAAACTAGTCAACATGACCTGTCATATTGATCATGATAGAATGCTAGTGACTTAGCAATATATTGGGTTATTTGCTTGACTGTAAACAGTCATATACATGTAATTGAAAATGAGAGCTACCTGTGTCCATACACTGTATGCATTCCAAACTTCCAAATGGCACGTACATGTACATGCACCTAAGCTATTCATATCTTACATACTTCAAGTTCTGTATCTGTGACGACATACATGAAAAAGTCTTAATTGTCTTTACGTAAAAGCTTAAAAGTCATTTTTTTCAGCAACAGTAATAAAAGCATGCAATATTTGATAAGATTTGAAAGTTAACGTGCTGAGGTCAGCATTGTTTAGGACCATACAATGTACCTCACAAAATGTTTGAATGTGGTCTTACAGCAAGTTCTGAAATTTGTTTGAGCAGGATTTCGATGGGAGTTGGCCGAGTATCTAAGGACTGGTAATCTACCGGATTCTGAGCAGGAGATGGGAAGACAGGAGCACCTCATGGTAGTACCCTTTCAAAATCCAGATCCATCACGCAAGTGGAGGGAAGGAACACTCAAATCATCATTTAACTATTTGTTACTAGACCCAAGAGTGACTAAGGACTTGCCAAGTCGTTACAATCAACTCACACAGCTGGAAGCATTCAGGGTAAGAGAATAGAAATACTCTGTATTGAAGACCTGTACAAGTGCTGCCATGCATTTGCATAGATTTCCTTCAGACATGTCAGAAGACCAAAATAATTTCTGACACTAAATTGAGGCGTTGTTACATTCTTTTTTCTTTGCGGTGTAGAATTTAATTTCTGCGCTCTGAAATTTTATACTTGACAACTGACAAGGGCATGAAGAGAGGGGTTCAATTTTGAAACATACGCAATGTACAGTAACAGTGAGCAAGAAAGACAATATCAGTCATATAAATAGGCAGTCATTTCCATGAGATACTTGATTAGCATTTAAGTGTATTGCTTTTAGGTATTTGTTGCGGCCATATTTTACATCGGTAAGGGCAAAAGGAGCCGGCCGTATGCCCACTTCTATGAAGCCCTCTCTCATAGGAAGCTTGTTGATGAAGTGAAGGACCAAACACCAAAGAAAACATCCAAAAAACAGGTGGGTTAGAGATTGCCACAGGTTTAAGAACAAAGTGGCAAGGACTGCTGAATTACAATTGAACACTTTACTCCATGACCTTTTCATGTACAGTTGTACATTCTGTTGACATGTTTATCTGGTCGCATTGTTGTATTCAAACTCTTTTGAGTTCCCAGTTTGTCTGATTAAAGTTTGAGAAGGTTAAGAAGTCATGGTCAAGTCAGAACATACCAAGGCTACATCATGTACATTGACTGATGAACATGAACATCGAAAGTAGCTGGTAAAGGTACATGTATGTTTGAATCCTGGATTGTACATGTACTTGCTATATTCAGGATCCTACATGTACTTGTACAGGTAAGTACTTGCCTGCAATTTGAGTATGCAATTTGAGTATGCAATTTGAGTAGGCAATTTGAGTAGGCAATTTGAGTAGGCAATTTGAGTTGGCAATCTTTGAGTATGTCGGATTAAGGGGGCAATAGTGTATAGGTAAAAAGCAAAATTGGAATTTATAAAAATGTTGAATTGACTCTTTCAAATAACCAAATGTTTTCAGGCCAATGCCAAGGTGCGTCACATCCTGGACATATGGGCTGCAGGACTTGGTGTGGTCTCACTGCATTGCTTCCAGAGTGTCATCCCGGTAGAGGCATACACCAGGGAAG